TAGTTTTGGTTACCGAGAGAAAGAAAATGATGCTGTCAGACTGAATTCAGGAATCAACCTAGCTACAAATTAAAAAAGAAAGTTACTGGGCATTTTTGGGTGTGGAACAGTACTGAGTTCACTACTGCAAGTAAACTCACTTTTGGAAAAGAAAAAAAAAAAGAACTATTTTAATCTAAAGCAAGTAAACACTCCTGAAATCCAATTTCAATTTTTCAAAATAAGTAGCCTTACTTGAACTAAGAACTTATAGCAAGGCACTCTTGTTAAAAGTATCTTGACTTTTTCATTCACACTCCTTATTTAGAATAGGTTTTTGCACCATTTAGTTCCTAAAATACTGTTCGTCACTTGCCACTGCCTGAGACAACACAAGTGATTAACAATGAAGCAGAAGAAATGCCAGGCAGACTGCATGTTACACTGAGTCTCTGTATCTGGATAATGCTATAGTTAGTGGAGTAGAAGAGTTGTAAATCAAAAATGTGTTGTTGTACATAGAGGAGACAAAAACCAAAATGGTATTCAATTGCAGTCACTATGGAAAGGACTAGAAAAAAGGAAAAGAATTTTTACTGTTCTTTCACTGCTCTCTTTAAAATAGTGCAGCAGTGAATGAAATTTTAGCAAGGTGGTCTTATCATGCATATTTACCAGTACGAGCCTGACTTGCAAACACTGACACAATAGTGGAAAACTCATATTGCCAGATGACTGAATATTAGAGTTTGGTTCAACATTGTTGATTAATATGCAATCTAAGAAACAACAATACCTGAAAAAAAACCTACATGTTCAGTAAGCTACCTAATCAGGTGAATGATGTTGTCTAGATTCTGTTATTTTCTCTTGTACAAATGGAAATTAACTTACTTTGAAAGGCAAAGCTGAATTGTAGTTTTCTGGAATTTCCCAGGACAGCAAAACAGAAGTCTTCATTACTGCTTTAACATGAAAATTTTTTGCAAACACTGCTGGAAAAAAAGAAACAATGTATATAAACAACATCTTGGAGCTCAATCTTGTCATAACTCCACTGCTACCTGGGAGTATTAGCTCTCCATTTAGGTCAAAAAACAACAAGGATTCAATTCTCCTACCTGTTTGTTCATATTTAAAGATCACATTTAAAGTCATTCTCACTCTTATCTAGTGACAATCCAATATATACATTTTCCTTACCTGAAAATATTGTGAAGAAGTTAGCCAGAACTTGCTTGGAAAGGGACAACTGAATTCTAAGGCATCCAAAACATATTAAGATTTACATACTTTACCTTTTGTGTTTGATGAACCTATTTTTATGAATGGGCCGGTCAGTTTTATTTACACCTTCAAAAACACTGATATCCACAGACCGATACTCCTTTAAAGGTCAACGCCATAAGCAGACAAATCCTACCTTGATCCACGGGTAGTGTCCTGAACTGGACACTTGGACTATATGGACCAGGCCCTTTGCTTGTGTGGGCACGTACTTTTACATCATATGTGGTATCTGGTTTTAAGCCAGAAAGTGTCATAGTGGTATCAGCAGGAACAACTGCGAGTTCAACTGGTTGGTAAGCAACATTGATATCTCTGTACAAGATGGTGTATTTGGTGATAATGCCATTTCTCTCTGCCAAGAGTGGCATCTGCCAAGTTAATTGAACTGATGTAGAAGTAGAGCTTTCCGAGTGGAGATTTTGGGGAAATCCACTGGGTACCTCTTCAGGAACAGAAATCTCTTTTACCATCTCCTCCCCAAAGCCCACTTTATTTCTAGCTGAGAGCCTGAAGACATAAGAAGCTCCTTTGTGAATGTCTGTGGCCGTGAAGTGATCTTCCTTCTCTGAGAACTCCATGATCGTTAATGTATCCATGTCTTTGCGACCAAACTTCAGGCGATAACCCTGCAGCGGGCCAAAAGTTTCCACAGGAGGATGCCACTGAATTAGAGCCGTGTTCATCTGTGTGTGGCTAATCACAAGCCGAGGTTTGCCTGGAACTGTAGCACAATGTTATTTAAAGAGGATAGATATCAACACAATGGCATGTACAATTCTTGAGGCTAGTTTTAGCAGGAATAGGGATATATCTTCTCTTCCCTCCCTCTTAGTTCCACATATTACTGTCCTAATGAAAAAATGGTGTCTGCCTCCTGCACTATTAAGTCATACAGTATAAAGAACTGAAACAGTAGAGACCTTTGCTGCTTTTCTGTTTTCTTCCCTTACCATTACTTCTAAATACAGAGCACATTTAGAGGCAGATGACCAAGGAACACAAATAAGGAATTAAAACTTCCAACAAACGTCTTATGAATGCTTCTGTCTTACAAATCCTTGTTTGCAAAAAAACATAAAGTATTGTCATAAGTTTTGATTTATTTAATCCAAGGGACATTTCCTGAAAATGGGAAAATAATGAAGAAATTACAAGTTTCTAGATAGGTTTAACATGACTTTTATCATTAGTAGTTAAAATGGGGTAGAAGTCCAAACAACTTCATCCTGAAAAATTATTACTACACATGAGAGAACCCTATCATTCTGGTTTCCATAAATAAATCATCTCATCTCCCTGTCTCAGAGTGGAGAGGTAGCACAGTTTGAAATTTATTTTTTTTTACATGGTTTTTCACATATGATTGATTTTCCAGCATGATTTTGATGTACATGAACTGGATTTCTTTTGAAGAAGGCTAAATTGGTAGCTCTTCTTAACCTACATGCTACATGCTGTCACAATCATAATTGGGACCCACTGGTCCAAACTGGTGATTCGTCTTTTAGAGAAGTTCAGACTGCAAGTGTAGTATGGACATTGAGGAGGATTGAATTAGTCCAGACAGGACTGAATTTGTCCTAATCAAGCCAGAAATACCACTATGCAATTTATATAGCGTAAATTTTTGAGTCTCAATATTACTGCTCTCATCTATTATTTCTACTTTATTGATTGGTAATTTAATTTTTTTCACATCTATTAGTATAGATTTAATTTATATTTTCATTAATATTTATATTTCATAAAGGTCTGTTTCTATTACAGTGGTTTATTTGATAATGAAACATATCCGTAACTGTAGAAATTTGGTGTTCATTCCGTACCAATGCCTGTAAGGTCAAGAGACTAGAACAGTTTTGGGAGTAATACTGCAATGACAACATAGCCTTCAACAAAGACTAATTAGTTTCATCTGCATTCAAAGCCTTCCCATGTGAATGAAACTTCTGCACTGTGAGCTCTGGTTCCTGCATTTAAACACTTCAATAGATTTTATTACTTATCTTGAGTTCTCAGGCACACAGCAGATCAGATTGCTATTGTCAGAAGGTCTAACTACGATTCCATAAAGAATTAAGAATAAGGAGGGAAGAATGGCAAGCCTTGAAGAAAAGGCTGCATTTAGTAAGCTATTTCCTCATTACATCTGTCCTAAGTCATGACATTGCTTTTAATTTTGTAAGAATTATAGGTGGGTTTTATATTAATTTTCCAAATATCTTTGATTTTAAATGTTGAGTTCACATGGCAGCATTATTGTGGAATCCTGTGTTTTCCCACACTTTCTGCTGTGTAAAGAATATCCCTCTGATTAGTTCTCACTTTTCCTCATTGATAATTATAAATGTTCATGGAACAAAGAGAAGGCCATGAAGGCCTTTTGCAGGCCATGTTTTTCTCTGCATTCCAACTATTACTGACGTCAGCATAGCAGAGGAAATAATAGAAGCATTTACCTAAAGAGAACAATAATTCTTTCAGCTTTCTAGAGGAGAGATTACTGGAAGGTATCACCAAATTTTTTTTGTGATACATTGGCTTTTTTTTTTTTGTTGTTCTGGCAGACATCACAATTAGAACTACATTTTGACCTTTGTGGTAACTACAGCGAAAGAAAGAAACTAGCTCCTGATCAGAACTGGGGAACTAATAAAGCTTACTTATCCAATAAAATAAAATAGTAAATAGCAATGGTCACTTTTTTTTTTTTTTTTAATACCATAGAGCCTACCCTTATGTTATCAACCAGATTAATTTATTTTTATTTCCAGATGGCTTTAGTTAACATTTACTTTTATTATGATTACTTATGAATAGTGCAGTCTTTTAAGGACAAATGACAGGATTCTGTGCATTTGTATATACACAATATATATATATGTATATATCACCAAATAGCTGTATCTAGAAATTTCTAGATAATAATCTGAATTGTCCATAGGACTAAAAGAAGTGAAATTTTCCATAAAATAAAATATATTCTCTGATCTAGTGAAATCCTCTTCCATTACTACATGGCAGGACGTCTCTCACATGCCCCTTTCCAACAGATTGCTGTTGCAGTGGCTTGCCACTACTAGTAGAAGCTTTTGCAATGTGCCTACAACAAATTACCTAAGTAATTTGTTTCTGTTAGCTGCTATAAAGTACACTTCCACTTTAACATAAATTTTCCTCTTTCAGCTGAAATCTGTATTTCAAGAGTGCTGTCTAGTATGACAGCAAATTACAAGCAACAGACAAACTACTGTGCTATGAGGTTATTCAACTACTGTGACACAGAAATTAAAGGTCTGATTAAAACCTTCATAAAAATAGTATGGTATCACTAACTAGTAAGTACTCATTGTTACCAGGGTCTTGTTAATCACACATTTTTTACTTCTGCCCCAAGTAATTTAATAAGTTCTTTCTTTTAACAGAGTAACAGTTTTTCTTCCATCTGATTTCAATATGGGGAAAGAAAACTAAATACAAGACAAAAACACATTCTTGAATGAAAACATCATTCAGTGACTTTACAAATGCAGTGAAACGGCATTCAGTGACTTTACAGATAACTGAATTACCATACTGTAGGCTAACTTATGTTTGGTGAATCTTTCCTGTCTAAAAATGTAAATGATGCTTTTGTATCACTAACTGGACACAGCTGAATAGTTATTTATTATTTGAATACCTTACAGATACTTTCTCTGGTAAATGTTCAGGCATCTATTCTTCTTTCATATCTCTTATGGATATAATCTCAGTCATTAAACTGTAAAAGTTAGACTAGAAAGGTCTGAGCCTTCATTTGCTTTATTGTAGTATTTCAATAGCACCTTTTTAGGAAAAAAAAAAAAAAAAAGGAACTCAAAGTGAATAGGAGATTGTATTGTTATAGACCTACAACCCCTTAGTGTTAGTGCATCATTCCTTCCTTTGTGTGATGTATTCGCATAGAAGGACAGTGAGCAGAAAACTCTTGGTACTGACTACACTCAGTGTCTCTTTTTTCAAAAATCTGCATAAGGAAAATCTGCATTTTCCTTACAAAAAGAAGCTGGAACACAGCAAGCTGTAACACCAAGTGAAGAGATCCCATACAATCTAGAATGCACGAAGGAGCAAAATAGTAACTCCCTATTAATCCCAGGAGCAAACATTACTTGTTCACAGGGTTAAGCAAACAGCAAGAACAGTGTAAAATGCATTGCATTTACAGACATGCCACTGATTCTCTATTGCTCTTCAGTCAAGTTTATATGAGACATTGCATTTGTTCTGGCTTTTTTTTTAGGTAGAAGCATCAGAGATCTTGGAAGAATGAAACATGAATGTCAATAAGGACTAGATGCTGTGAAACTTTAGATTTTGCAAGCACATCTGCATAATCTGCATTTATGTCTAGGAATTAATGAAATTATAATTTATGTAATTGCACTTATTTAAATTTGCAATTGAATTAAAAAAAAAAAAAAACCCATAATGGATTAAGTGCCTTAAATCAAGTTCCAATGCTTGCCAGAAATATATACCACCTTTTTTTCCCAGAGGATGAGAATTCAGGGAAAATAAGTTAGAGGGTAATTTTCAGCAATAGCCAAGAGTAATGACTAGAATGTATTCTAAGTTCTGAGATGAAAACATATTGTGCATCTAGCCATCAAGACTGAGATTTTTCCAGGGAACCTAATGAGAAAAGGATGTGGATGGTTTTGATATTAATACAAGATGTGCTCTGAATTCAGTGATTGTTTCAAAAATGGAGTCACTCACTATAAATACAAATACATAGGCCCTTTGGATAATCTATTAGTACAAATAATACATTGTTATTAGGAGAGATCGTAATGGTGCTACTATTGATTGTAATGGAGTATCTTCAATGGCTGCACCACAAACCCTGAAAATGAAACATTACCTACAGATTGTGAACACCTCTAGGTGAGTATCATACTAAAGCTGTGGTGGCATCAGTTGGTTAAGTTGTGCCACAGTAAAGCATTTAAAAAACCAAAATTGTTCCTCATCTAAAATCATTTGGGTTCATCACATCTGTGCTAATTGCTGTATTGGTTATGCAGTCAAGATATCCACCATTTAGCACCACCTGTGATCAAACGCAGACTGAACACAGTGGCAGGGTGTATTTTGCCGCAGTTTATGCCTTAAATTACCTCTCAACCAATATGGGCTTCAGGGCTTCACAGGATGGGATTTCACTCTGTTTTCCAATTCTCTGCTTTAATAATCTTCTGAGATAAATTGTGACTGTCATACAGATGGGTTCTTTCAATGCTTTTACTGACAGGCAGCAGTGTTGCTACTCTCACTAAGATCAGGACAGTCCCTCACAAATTTTTCAAATATCCTTCTCAGCTCTTAATTTCTATTTTTTTGTCTCCAAGAAGACACCGATCATAATGGAAGAGTTACTGAAAACTGTAAAGTGACCTGATCTGGAATTAAGAAAGGGAGAAAGGGAGCAAATGGCTTTATTTTTATGAAAATAAATGAAGGGCCAACGACTGAAACAGAAAACCCTTTGCGCTAGAAACACTTTTCACACAACAGGAGACTTCCAAATAGTAGGAACAAAACACTAGCTGAAAAAGTCATTTAGAGCTTAATTTTATATAAATATTACCTGCACCAGTAGTAGATACAAGTTTGGGTTTGCTGCGTGCTCCATCACCTTTTGTTGTATAAGCTGTCACAGTGAAAGAGTACGTGGTTTCAGGCTGAAGTCCAGAAATTATCATTTCCTAAGACGAAATAAAATAAAATACATTTAATTAAAAATATATTGTTTGCCAAAAGAACACAGAATCCTTTAGAAACCTCCTATATGTTACACTTTCGAGCTACTGGCAGTGATAGCAAGCCTTTTAGTGCACCGACAGACTGTACTGTGTGAAATACTTGATAACGCAAAACATTTCACTCACTTAAGCAATAAAAGACAGCACACATCTAAATAGTATGCCTCAGGTAGTTTAAAGCAAAAGGCCAAAGGCTTAGTGGTGTGAACAATGAATAAAGTCTTCTGAAATATCTTGCCTGAGGAATACTACTGGACACTGTGAAACACATGCACATGTAGATATGAGAAACTCAGTTTAACTTAGTCATTGACAGGATACCACTGACATAGTTCTAAAATGCCTAGCAAGAAAAGTGTTGCATTTATATGCACATTTTATAAGTAACGATGGTTTAGCTGAAAAAGAAAACTTTTTTACTTTGATAAAACTTTCACTGCAGCCTTTGTCACCAGGTGGACTCTGTTTCTAAGTATCTGAAAGGACTTCAGAAACAACTCACTCTTCACATCTAAAAGAACTGTGTAAAACACCACTAAAAATTTGCTCAGAGAATACATCTGATTACCCTCAAATGACAGCAGCTACAAAATAAGTAGCTCTTTAGCTAGTGCAAAGTAAGAGCAACATCAAGCCGTAAATATCAAAGCAAGAGGGTATCTTTTTACAGGTGTATGCACACACATGTATAGTCACACAGAAGATGGTGAATGGTGTACCAGAAATGTACTAAACTTATGTCCTGCTATGAAGAGAGTGAGAGGAGTAAGTCTTGACACTCATAATACAAATAAATATTATAGGGAAATATAGAAGGACAGTATTTGGAGGCAACTGACTGGCTCAGAGTCCCCAACCTCCAGCCTGTAAATACTGGACTACTCCTTTGCATTTTCACATGCCTCAAAGAATTTACACTAAATTTCAATGCTGCCAGAGGGATGGTGTATTTATACATCTAGAATAAATAGCAAATGTGCAATCACACATCCCTCAGATTCAACAGTCATGAAAAGTTGACATAAAAATCATGGTCCAGACTATTCATAGTTTATGGATTTTTCAAGACAGTGGATATGAGCTTAGTAAAGATTTGATTTCAATTCAGCGTTTTATTTACAGTCAGTTATTAGCAATATACAAATAATAACGTAATTATCATAATGAGTGGGCAAAATAGCTCAGATTTAAAAAAAAAAAAACAAAACCACAACAAAATGAAACAACACATAAAAATCTACTACCAAAAGATGCCCTTCTAAGACTCTATCTCGGTATTCAACTGAACCAAAAGGTCAAAATCATAAGAAAGACTTCACATCTTTCATAAGATAACTGCACCTGATACTACCAGAATTAAACAGTAAAATGGAACCCTCCCCACAAAACCACAAACCAAAACCAGTCATAAAGATATTAGCCTCATCCAAAACAACTAATATTTCATTGCATAAGAGCTATGACAGCATGTAGTGTTTGAAAAAGTGTGGTTTGGATACAGCAAACATTATTATTTAGGTATAAACACTGCAGGGCATCTGGCTCCGCTGATAGATGTATTTAAAGAAAGCACCACTGACTTTAACTTTCAGTTACACAAAAAAAAAAAAAAAAAAAAAAAAAAAAAAAAAAAAAAACAAACCAACAAAAAAACCTTAAAATGAATACTGAAAAATACAACTACTGGTATGTAACCCTGAACCACTTCTGTTTTATTTTTCTATCACCTTGTAAAGAAGAAATTGTGAGGCAAACTTAGTGACAGCCATCAAAAAGATGAAACACAAAAAACAGTGCTGTACATTCGGGCGTCATGCTAAACCCCAGAACAGGCAAGCAACAGTAACCCTGCTCTCCCTGTGAAAATTTAAAAAAAAAAAAAAAAAACAACAAAGGAAAAACGTGTCATAAGAGAAAATCTTTGATGTTAGGAGCATGCATTTGTGCAAATGACAGAAGAACAACCTGCAAAACAAAAACAAACCCAAAGAAAACACCAAAAAATATCCAACAAAACTGCAAGCAATGCTACAAGCAAACAAGCAAGACAAAAAAAAAATCCCAAATCAAACACACAATGTTTTTCTGCCCAGTCAAAACATACTTACATGTTCAGTAGTATCATCATATTCCCACTAATTTACAGTAAAGGAAGTTGAAAGGAAAAACAAAAGAAATAAGGAGATTTGTAGCCTGGTTGAGATAATGTTTTCTTCTTAATAGTAAAATAAATATGAAAGATGTCTGAAAAAATCATGTACAGTTTGAATTATTCATGTAGAATCACATGGAATTTGGTTAATGAAATCAGGCCAGGCATTATTAGTTCCATTTCTGCCATTCCTAAAAAACAGCTTTATTTTATTTGTCTCTTTCATTGACAAATAAAAGAAGTAAAGAATCCTCTTGCACCACATACCACTCTTCCATAGTAGTAACTTTATTAAAAGTTACCAAGGTAGAATTAAAGGCCACCTGGTTTATTTAACCATGTTACCCGGCTATATGGTTTCCTAAACTAATTCAATTAATCGAGTCTTGAAACCCCACTGATATTTTACCATGAAGGTCCCCATAGCTGCACAAGCCCTGATAACATGCATACAGAAGTACAGTAGGCAGGAARGAGTGGTGGGAAAAGAGTTGACTTTCCTGCGTGAAACAATGGCAAGTGGGCAGGTCAAAGCTTAACTTAACGAAAGAAGTAATACAACTTTCATCTTTATGATGTTTAGATTCTAATATTGAGTCTCCTCAATAGGAGTTGAAGGTTACTGACCTTCTAGTGTTTAAAATAATTTTAATCCACTACCACAGAGAGGCTGAAAGTAAAAATATGTGAAACGAAGAGGAGAATCAAAGCACACTACCATGTCCTTTTCCATCTCCTCTCCCTTTTTCCTTTCCCTTTCCACCTCCTGATCTACTTTCACCTATGTCTCCACTGAATTTAAGCAGTAAGAACATCATGTTTTCCAAAATAGGTAAGTACTGCAGCAAATAGGTAAAACTGCAGCAAAAACTCCTTCAGAAACAGAGACGGTGTTTTACAAGCATGAGCAAAATGCAGGTGTAGGAGATCTATTCTGCAAAAGACTCTCTGCAAAGTTGAAGTTCAGAAACAAGACTGGAAAGCAAGAAAGAAAGGCAACCCACCCATTTGTTAGCTCACACAAAGTGCTTACTAAGGAGATTTTACTCTTTGATTTAGGTTGATTGTTTCTTTTAATTTCCAGTCAATGCAGTCATAAACTGTGAGATAGCAATGACACATGGATAACAATTTCAGTGTAGGATGACTCCTCCAGTGTCAGGAGCTTTGGAAATCCTAAGTTTTATAGAGTACTAGTATATCTCAAACAGTTAAATTTGAGTTTGAGAAGCTTTTTAAACTGGATGTTTTAATCATCTTATAATTTCTAAAACAGATGGGAAATTTTGCAATATAAATAATCATTGCCTATCCAAATGAAGTTCCTCATTTTATTACAATTCTTGATATGAATAACGGAAAGCATAACACCTCAGTGGTTTCTAAAGTTACAGTAAGAACATTAAGTTCTTTTGAAACATGTAGCGAGGTGCATACAAACTAATCACAGAAACCTGCAATAACAGGCTAACATGAGCTTCTAATGATTCTAGGCTCTCCACTGAAACAATGAAATAGCAGAAGGATGGACCAGGCTGTGCACAGTTGACTACACTGCCTGTGACCAGGATCAGATCAACCAAATGCTTTAGAACTTCGGAGTATAGGTATAGTAGGTATAGAGTATATGTAAAGTCTACAGGTTTAAGGGAATCAGAAGAATGACACAGCCTAGCAYTTAGCTGCAGACCAGCTGCAGAGATGAAAGTGTCTAGTTTTGGCACAAGAACTGATAAATGTAAGTGTTCTGAAAAGAACTTTCTAAAATAGAGACAAAAAATGCTAGCGAGTAGACTGACAAACAGAAAGAAAAAAAATCCCTAAACAACCAAAGGCAGGTCTTGATTGCTCTCTGGTAAATGAAACATTTTCACTGTGACCCAGAAAAAAACCAAGTGCCCTAATTACCTGTGCATCAGCCAGCATGATGTCCTTCAGCATGGGCTGACCCTTTGACTCTCCATTTTCCATCCTCACGTAGTGGACCTGGTATCCTCGTATCTGACCGTGCTGCTTATTGGGCACAGGCGAGCGCCAAGACACTTTAACAGCAGTGGAGTTGACAGCCTCCACCTCGACTTTGCGAGGAGGACCACTAGGAACTGGAACAACATCATTGGACAGAAGAGAATTACAGGCACCTGTCCCACCCATGTCTTTCACTTTTCTTTAAGAAAGGGCAGACTCACTATGTTGTCTTTGAAGAATACAAATAATTCAACAAATGAAAATGCTCAACCAATCTGCTCTACCTTTCGGTGAAAAGATCAAAAAACATGACTGATGCAAAAAATGGAAGAAAAAGGAGTATTAGAGAAATAGAAAAAACATGTAAAAATGTACAAAAGCCAAGGAAGATGCTTTGAGATTCAAAGCATTATAGTACAAAGAGATATTTTAATCATTGAAATAATAATACTATAATAAAAACAAAACCACAAAAGATTCAAAAAAAAGATACCCYTTTTTTTTTTTTTTGTTTGTCAAGTTGTGTTTTGGTTTGGTTTGTTTTTTTTTTCCTCAGGATAAAAAGGAGGCTGATTATAAGGCTGTCTTCTGTCACTTTCAAGAATGGAAGAAAAGAAAATGTGTGGAGCATCAGTTTTCCAAGATCAAAAAACAAAACTGGAAAAAAAGCCAACAAAAAAAAAACACAAGCCAAAAAAACCCTCAAATCAAAAGGCACAATATGGAAGAAAAAGCAGTTAAAAACAAAAAAAACAACCAAAAAAGCCAAGACCTGAAAAAAAGTGTATAGACATAACTGTTTAAAAATGACAATGACTGCAAAATCAAGAAAAAGGGAGAAAGTTTTTCCGTGGGAGTTATTTTTACATTAAAGGAGGAGTAAGAAGGATAAGGATGGGCTCAAAGGAGAAGCAGATTCATGTCACTTGCCAAAAAAGGATTTTCTGATTAAAAAAAAAATACAAAAATACCAATAGAAAAAATGGTGTAGAAAGGACAGTCTCTGGTTAAAAAGCTCAAAGGGTGTTAATATCTGGTTATATTTGGGAAAAAAAGAGGAGCAGGAAAAATTACTGTTAGCCTACACAAAAGACAGCAGATGACAGAGCCATAGAGGTGCAAACCGATGTAGTGGAGGCAACATACCATCTTCATCTGTCCGAATCAATACTGCTAAGCTCTCTGGGCCAGGTCCAACATCAGTGTGAGCAGTCACAGAGATCCGGTACTCAGTCCATTTTTCCAGCTGTTCCAAAAGGTACTGGGTACTGTCCGAGGAAATTCCCAAAATTTCATGGGGCTTGACATCTTCTCCATCAATCCCAATGTACTTGATGGAATACGCAGTGATAATGCCATTCTGTTTTTCCACCGGAGGAGGTTTCCAACTTACCAAAATGCTAGTGGAGCTGGGGCTTGTGCAACTAATGTCTTGAGGAGGAGCTGATGGCTCTAATTTCAGTAGTGGGTTAAAGGAGGATTTGAGTGGAAGGATAGAAGTGATTGAAAAAAAAATGAACAAAAGAAAAAATAAAAATAAATAAAAGAGAACCAAATGAAAATAATAAATAAACAAAAAAAAAGGAGAAACTCAAAAAAACAAAACGTCAGATAATCAAATGCACCTTGGCTTATTAACATGAGGAAACTGAAAATGAATAGACCAACTAAATGGTGAAAAACGATGTAGGGGAAATATATGAAAATGAAACCTCAAAACAATATTACCTACCTGTAATTAAAATTCTTCTTGAAATAAAACAAAAATGTGACACTTCTATGACTACTGATCTACCTTTATAATCCTTGCAATTAGTGCAAGCTATAGTACTTTAAATAACACATGACATGTGTTTACTTACAAATTTGGACATATCCCCTTCAAGTGGCTTTACTTTCCTTAAGACAGAAAATCTCTTTAACAGAACGAAAAACTTGCAATAATTGCTAGAAATTGCTCCATAGGTTGCCATTTTTGCAGCCTTTCCATGAATCTCATAAACAAATTGCTACTTTTTTTTAATGAGTCTGCCTGATACAAGTCAACCATATATTGCATTTAAATTGAAAGCATCTACTGAAACATTTATTGCAGCTAACATACTATGAGCATGCAGTCCATAGAAGATGAAGAAAATCTGAGTCAAAGATTTACCTACCAGGAAAAAGTGACAGGCTTGTTGATTCTGACTGTAACTTGTACTTACCCTAGATCAGCTGTCAGTTTTATTTTTTTAACTCCTCTTGGAGATACCTTTGCTAGCAAAGAATTAATCCTACCAGTAATGTAGATTACTTCTACAGAAAAAAAAAAAAATCTACCCCAAATAGTGTGTCAAGAAAGCAGGTATTAATTTTACAAAGGGAGTTTACAAGCTCAGCACATCAGAATGAGAATTTCTGACTTTGATCACCAATCTTCCGGAGCAGGAGCGCTCACCTTTACTCATTTGCTCTCAAAGGAGTATGTTAGCATATTTACCTTTTCCAAGCTCCAGAGCATTTAAGCAGGTATGTCATTCCACTACTTTCAGTGAGGCACATCAAGTACTGAAAGTTAGGTATGCATTTATGTGCTTAAATGCCCTTTGACTTAGCAGAATCTATGCTTACTAATGGATCATTCAGAGCACCGAAAAAAGAAACCATAATTCAAACTCACTAGCAGAATTCCTTTCCTACTTCTGCCAACTGTCTTGTAAGAAAAACATACATTTTGTGTGCAAGACCTTTAACTCCCTTTATGTCCCACTGTCCACTTTTTCTTCCCATTTCTTAAGGGAAAAAAGAAACAGACAGATATTTATACATACTTACAATAGCCACATTAAACAAAATTAAAACAACTGAGAAGTTGTAGGACCCTGCTGTGACCTACTGCATTTACACATGTACAGATGTTTGGCTCCCTACAGCTCTCTCTACAGAGATCAATGGCTATTTACTCAGTATGGTACACTGCTCTTCCGAATGGAAGACAGGAGGGAATTTACGAGTATTTCRATGAATTAGAGTAAGTGGATGTGATAACAGATGATAATGGTCACATTTGGGGTTGTTTTTGTAGACTAATTCAATAATCAACTACTCAAAACAAGTGGATGCCCTTCTACCATTAACTCGTGTAGAAAGTAAAATACATGTAAAATGTCCCTTAAGGGTCTCACAGAAAAGAAATATATCCCTACAGCATCTTCCTCTGATACCAAGATGAAAGGCAGTACATCCTGGTGGATATCACTAATAAAATCATAGAAGTTTATTAATTTTTAATCCATTATACTCCAAAAATGCAAAATAATGCACTTAGSTAACAAAGGATAATTTGGAGGCTATTTTAATCAGTTTTATTAATGCATATATGTTTTTTTTCTTTATTGCAGATTTTTTTGCCAAAAAAAGTAATCTTTGCAGCAAATAACTTTGGTATGACTACTGAAATCAACTGGATTTCCCTACTATCTGAAGTAGGGAAGAATGACACATTCTTAGATTCAAGAGGAGAAAAAGGCAAAGTGCTTACATATGGAACATGCAGCCTTGGCCCCTAGATGTTTATTTTGTATGCAGTCTAAGCAATCTTCACCCAATATAAGATAAGGAGTATTCTAAATAGCTGAAATGACTCCCAGAACAAAAAAAAATACCTTTTCTTAATCAAAGAATTCATTCTGAATTACTAAAATGAAAAGGTGCCTTGCCGCTATCTCTAAAACTAGACTTGTATTTTGTAAGTGCTCTTTATGCTTATTCCAAATGCTTTAGAAAAGCTTCAGAAACACATTTAGCTTTGCTTAAAGGTGTGCAGCACTGTGTCTCCAGTCACAYTAATTGATATTAATATATAATACTAAAAAGGAATGACTGCGTAATCACATCGTGACAGCAAATTAAAAACGATTCATGTCAATAGAGAAACTGAATTTTCTGTTATGAATAATCTTACTTTAAAAACAGTCCATTTAATTTAAAACAAATACAAATAGAACTCCGTTAATTTTAAAATGACACATTGTAATGCAAACTGTCAGGAAAGCAWAACTTATCAAGCAAGACTAACACTTCTGGATGTCATCGCTGAATAGCTGATTGTTTTAGTTAAGTCTTAATTTAAGTTTTTTAAGGTGTATATATAAATCCCTGATATATTTTTGCATCTTATTTGAGGGCAAATGTGATGAGTCTCATGATGTTATTTCCCTAAGCATCCAGTGAGAAAACTGTTTTTTACAGGTGGAAAAAGACAACATTGTAAGAAGCTTAGATTAAGAAAATTGAACAAAATCAGAATGATTAGCCACTATACAAGCATTGTTATGAAATATCTCGTGAAGTCTGAAATATTCAATCTAATCCACTCTATAAATTTTTGCACTTCGAGGAGATGCTRCAGAAATAATCTAGGAAGGGTGCAGACTGGGGAGGCGGAATTTTATTGGTTAAAGATTATTATTAATCCTTACTAATCATATACCTATTGCATGATACACATTGTACCTCATCACATTATAACATTTTATTATGACAACATTATATTGCCTCCTCAGACACTGTTTTACATAGGTTGTTTCTTGCCACTATGTAAAAGCCACTCATATATTAAGCTGATGCCAACACAGCTCAAAAATACACATTTTAAGTATTCTTTTGCTGCATCAAGCAACAYGAATACTGTATTTTGCTTTTTTCTCTGTTGCTGCCTCCCTGGGCTACTTAGATAAATCTCTTTGAGAAACCAAAGAAAAGGGAACAAATTTTGCAAGGAAAGACACCTACTTGACTGCATGGTTCTGGCTGAGATTTCGGCTGTTGAAGCACCCAGGCCTTGAGGAGAGCGYGCAGCTAGGCGGAACAAGTACAGGCTGTTTGGCCTTAAGCCTTGCAGACGGTATGATGTAGTAGGCTCAGTGGAAACCCGTTGCTAAAGGTAGATAATAAGAGAATGTCTTGATTCAGAGACTCTGAATTCCATATATTGCCTATAGAAGAAATGCTTTTACACCCCAATAAACCCATAGGGAAAAACTGAAATTCAAGAAAATAAAGCAGAGCAAAAACAAACAAAACCAAACCAAAACTGAACACTTCTGACATACATTAAGAAACAGTATYTTTTAAAGTCAACTGTTTAATGAGTGAAATTCAAGAGCCAGAAACATTGCTTGACTGAGGAACAAATAGCTATAYACAAAGTAGGAAAGGCTTTTCAGACAAAACCACATGAACAAAGCCTTACCTAYAGCTATCTTTTACAGTGATTTCATAGTGTAAGTAATCTTGGGTTTAACCTTGTTGTTAAATTCRTATTCAAATGATTAAAAGCGAGTTCTTCCACAGGGTAACTTATTAAGCAGTGGCCTCCATTCTGTTTGTAAGTGAAATGTGGATTGGACCCCCTTCCASAAGATAAGGTTATGAATTCACAGTGTATGTGTGAAGCTGCCATAAACATAAACTCAGTTGAAGCATCAGCAGTGAGTGGAAGATGCAGGAGAAACCAATGAGGCTGACAATCTCCTTTTGCCTTCTGAGACTCCTGGCTTCTTTCTTTTCTCTATGACACCTGGTAATAACCCATTTTTCCAGTTTATGGCACAAATGCAACAGATGTCCACAAACCGAAAATTATTTACAAAATAATGGTACAGAAAACGTCTATTCCAAGTTTTAATCTTTAGAAAAMAATCTCATATTTTCTCCTCAGTTAGGGAAAGATTTAGAAAAGCTCAGGAATTGTCTGATGGCACAGAAAAACAAAAATTATCTGAAGCTGAAAATAGATTTCAAAGTTCAAGTATAAGTTCAAAAAAGGCTTAATGAGTCCATTAAATGACCCCAAACATTTTTGCTTCCAAGCCTTTATAAAAGAATAGGAGAGGAGAGACATAATCAATGTCTGAAACTGGATGGAATTTCTGTGGAGGATTCATTGCTGTCTACAGCAAAATTCCACTGGCTGGTAACCACTGACAGCATTTTCTGTGTTTACACACTTTCAGTYTGACCCTAGGCTAAATGCTGCACTTAACAAACCTAAGTATCGAGGCATTTGTACTAAAGCAAGCTACCAAACCGTGAAATTTAAAACATTGCAGCATTTTATGTCCAACTTATTAAAAATCATTAAAAATATGTAAGATCTTGCCACTTACTTCCTCCCCATGCTCCCCATCTTTGTAAACCAGTTCRTAGCTGGAAATGGTATCGGAGCGTGGAGGTGTCCAGGAAAGCAATATGCTCGTTTCAGACTCGGGTTCTGCTTTGAAGTTCAATGGTTGACCAGGCACTAAGGAAAAAGGTGAGTAGTGTTGCAAATTATTWAGCTGGCTACTTCACACTTTCAAACCTTTTAAAACGCTATCTGAATATGGCATGCAATATTACTTTTATCCATKTTACTGAACTTAAACTGATTGATTCACAGTACTATGAAATAAATTTATCTGAGCATAAAAAAAGAATAATGATACATTTAATTCACGTGTTAAAAATTATCAGGGATTGCAAGTAAATGTTTCTGCAGTGTAAATCACATAAACAGAACTGAAATGCAATTGAAAAGATGCCTGGCTATGAATACCAACAATCTAATAATCTATGTGTGAAATGGCAAATATAGGCATCCATTTATTTGTGTTTGCATAAGAAAAAGGTAGTAAAACATATGATTGSCTGAATCAGTCTAGAACAAATTTTAAAACTATTACATGATTTTCGAAATATGAACATTTTTTTGGTCAGCTCATCAATAAAAAATAGTAAAYACATGCTAGTCTTTAAAAAGGCACCCACATAGAATACCCAGATTGTGTTACCTGGAGAAGTTATAACCTAGTCAAGAGTTACTCTTAATTTCTCATTAAGTGGCCTATTTTCACCCTTTAATGASTGGTATTTTTAAGAATATAGCTGAATTTCCAGTGACAACACTTCCTAATTGCAAGAAGCAAAATGCACTTTTGATTGCACTAGTCAAGAACATTCTCTGTTGTTGTATCGTGTGCAATGGTCACAGAAATTGACCACACTAAATGTTATCCTCATTTCCTTCTTGAATGCAGAGCAAATAAGGTTGACTGGGAAGACAGCAAAACATAATTCTGTTGTTGGATTGTGTATGATAGTTTTGGCACCCATATTCTAAAACATTACTTTCAGTTAATAGTGCTGTTGATAAGGCAGGAAAAAGCGTTCCACAGCATTTCTAGCTGTTCAAGAATAAAACGTGACATGTTCAAACTTTTTCAGGGAAAAAAAAAAAGTATGTACTTCTTAGCATGTATTGAGAACAGGTGTGAGAAGTAGGATGTGACAACAATAACGGTTTCACAAACAATTTTGGGGAAGAATTCTATTACATAATTACAAGTATGTTTCTTTTGTACAGTAAAAGACCTAAAAACTCCAGAGAGCAAACTGTTAAAATAACTTGGTATTTTGACTTTTATCTTCCCCAGACTTCGACAGAATATCARTTTGAGGAGAACACTGCCCTTGTGTATGCTGGTACAGATTTGAAACCTAACTTTCAACAGACAGAACCTTTCTACATGAGGTGCATATTCAAGCTCCTGTGAGGATATTGCAAGTCTCTACCATTCTTTTTCTAAAAAAAATTTTAACAAGCAAGAGTTACAGGAGACCAATTTTTTTACAGGAATAAAAGGGGTAGGACTAATTAGATGTCTAAGAGGTATCTGCTCTAACTGCCAGGGTCCAGAAAAGTACAAAGGGTAAAYGATACCTTGAAAGCATGGGGAGCCATTACAGGAAATATCAACCAAGTATTTTTGACAGACTCTGATTTTGCATGGAGAGGTTGCAGCACTGGGGATAGTATGGCTGGGAGAAGGGATGGCTCCTGACAGCATTCCCAGCAGTAACAGAAGGGATGGAAGAGATGCAGCCAGGATCTTCAGAGAGTGTGGCAGGTGAGAGGCAGTGGCACAAGTTGAAACGTGAGAGACTCAGGATAACCCAGAAAMGCAGCCAAGGCCCAAGGATGTCAGACCATACCAGCCCTGGGGGGGTTTTACATCTCAACTGTGTGAAACCCTAAGAAACTCAGTCTGACCCCACAGCTGAGCCTGCTCTGGGCACGGGCTATGGCTGGACACCTCCCCAGCCAACCATCCTGCTAGCTTGAATTGTCCAGTGATGCTGTGATGTGTACTTAATGTATGGATACATGATTTATAGAACACAGCCAAGCAGTAATCGTAAATGATCAATCAAGTGACTCATATGAAGGCTGGTACCATCTGTTATGATAAATATGGCAGCAGATGGAGAACTAAGGGTATTTCCTGTCTCTCCGCATGTTTTAAGACCCTCATTCTCTAAGTATTCCTTTAAAAAATCCCAAACCCTTTGTCATCTTAGGTCTGCAATTCTCAATCATTTACAAGACAAGTTGATGGCTAACTGGACTTTTCCAAATGCTGTTTGTCAAAATAATACCTTGCTTCAAAATCTAGTCTCCCTTCAGATTGTTTTTAACCACCATTAAGCAACTCTGATGTTGAAAACACTGACAGAAGAAAAGGTGACAGGGAAATCTGCATTGCTTCAAACAGATAAGAGAAGATGGAGAAGAAAGAAAACAAACCCAAAATAACAGAAACTAAACACATTTTACTCCTGATGAACTCTGGTACCGAACCCAACACTTAAACCAAATGAAAAGTACCAGTTAAGAAAGTGGAACAATTAACCTTTAAACTGTTTAGGATTTGTGCCTAGAACATACGATATCTGTTCAAAAGACTCCTCAGTGGCACATGAGAGCTAACCAAGCTAGAGCTGACAGAGACTACTGATCTCCTTCAGAGACAGAAAAAACCCTAGAGAAACCACAAAGTGTATGCAAGTGCACTTTATACTCTTACTGAAGTGTTTTTAATTTCACACATCAAATCTAACTCTGTATTAATGCTGTACAGCTGCAGCTCACTAAATAGGATGGTTTTGCATGATTATTCTCTAAATACTGTCTTTTCTGCTTTGAGGGCAATATGCTCTACAAAAATACATTAAAACCTCCAATTTCCAAGTGTATCTTCTTTCTTCTAAATATGACTTATCTTAGGCAGTACACACAAGGAAAGACCACAATGCAATAACAAAATGAAGAACAAAGTCCAGAACTACTTTTTCCCAAAACTTCATATCAAGTTCTATATTTTCTCATGCTTAGTCCTCCATGTTTATTTCTGGATAACCAGAAACAAACATAGATTGCTGGACTTTGTCCTGCATGTGCGGGTCTGTGTCCATCCCTGATTAAAGTGTCACGACAGGATCATAAAATGGGATCTCATAAGGCTTCATTAGTTCCCTGCACAGCGCCTCAGGTAACCAGAGAAGTACTCCAGAACCATGCTGGGTTTGCGAGTGATAACGGAAAAAGAAGAGAGTCTCAAGCCTAGAAAAGACCAGATGACATTGCTAGGATGAAATCTGTACCTCAAGTAAAACTCAGTTCAGTRTGAAATAAGCTTTGCAAAGTACAATAGATTGATCAAGAGGATTTACAATCAGTAGGAAACCTAAAGGGACCAAGAGTTTATGTTTCTGATTTCTCTGAAAGGAGCTTGAAACTCTACAGAAGAGCCCTTAAAACTGAAGAGCTACTTCGCTCCAGGGCTTTTCTTTTGCAAAACAATGCGTGTATTTTTCTAAATACCAAGTCCTACTAGAATATAACTAAAAAATCAAACAGGTAATGTACAAAATAAAATGGGTAATATCTGCATTGTGCTATCCCCTTGTCTCTCTGCTACAACTGAAATATCTTCTTCAAATGAGTCTAAAAGTAACTGAGGCTTGTAGCTTTGCAATATCAAACAAGGAACCACTCTACTCAAAATAATTAACTACTATACATTCTAGATTTAAAAAAAACAAAACCATAGAATGTTATGTTCAAAAGCAATCAGAAATCCATAAATCACTGTCTTAATATCTCTAACTGACACTGTGGGAGCCCAGAGAATAAAATAAACGTGTTGGTAGTCTTCAAGACAGAGTCCACCTAGTCTTGTTTGAATGACTGCAGAATGCACTGGAGAGATAAATCATACCTCAGCATATTCCTGTYTACACTCTATTTCCACAATGTAGCAGTACAGTTGACTTAAAATTGCTSCATCCCTCCTAACTTAAATTCAGTGACGCATGTAATGTGTGCACATTTTCAGCACTTATCCACATATTTGCAAAAACCACAATACTGAACTTGAACAAGAAGTATCTCATATCCATACCCTATTCTGTAGCCTAACTAGGAAAAGAGAAGTAGATTAAAAGCTAGAAGAAAAATCACTGTGTGAAGGTAAGACCCTTAGCATTGAACTCATAATGTCAGCATTTAAAAGCAGCAAAATGGAGACTAGGACATTTAACAAAACTCACCTGTGCATTGAGAGCAGGGGAGTTATTCAAAAGTAGAAATAATCTTTCCTACCTGACCAGAAATGTACCTTGAGGGAAATTTTAAAATTTAAGTAATTTTGAAAGCTGTCCTTTACCTCATCTCAGCATCAATACATACAAGTCTCTCAAAGGTGGGTGCCACAAGGATGATGTCAGAATCTTTTCAGTGGTRCCCAGAGAYAGGATGAATAGCAGTGGCCACACACTAAAATATGGAAAGTTCCACCTCAACCTGAGGAGCAACTTCTTTATACTGAGGATGGCAGAGCACTGGAACAGGCTGCTCAGGGWGGTGGTGGAGTTTCCCTCTCTGGAGACATTCAAAACCCGTCTGGRTGAGTTCCTTTTTCACCTGCTGTGGGTGACCCTGCCTTGTCAGGGAAGTTGGACTGGATGATCTTCAGAGGTCCCTTTCAACCCCAAATATTCTGCAATTCTTCCACCTGCTTTCTTATACAGAGTTGAGTTTCTTGCTACATGCTCTCAGATATCTCAGATATTCTCATGTGGAAGTCCATTTCTAACAGCTTCACAAGGACACTAGGACTGTGGAGTTTCAGAGACATTTGGTTTCTCTGTTCATGTGTTCACAAAAAGAAATTTATAAGTCTGGTAAAGCAGATAGTTTGCTATAACACAGAGCATTACTCCTGTGCTACCAGCTCTTTCTCTGAACTTCTAATCTTCTTTTACCATAAGAACTCCAGAAACATTAATTTCGTTTAAGCTAAGGCTCCATGTATGTGCCTCACAAGTCAGATATTGAACCTTCTAATTACTGTCCTTCTTTCCTATGTTCAGAATATTAGCCTTTTATAACTGTAACAAACCACAGTCTTCAAATCATGATGAATCCTTMATTTAAAACTAGTATGTTTTGTATTTTAACCTTTTCCTGAAGAAGCATATGCTTACAGGTACACATTCATTTTCCTGGATATGTACTCATTTTTTCTCTTTTTCTCCAGTAATCCACTATCCAATAGGCCTTGTGTATCCCTCTCCTGTCTTTCTGCCAAAGCTCAGAACAAAACCAAGATTCACTTAATTGCTTCAGTAGATATTCTCTTTGAAGATCAAAATGAAATTAAATGAAACAAAATGAAATGAAACAAACCCAAACCCAGACACTCAGTTCTAAATTCTAAATTCTAAGTTCTAAGTTCTAAACTCTAAATTCTCCTGATACACACAGGTTAAAATATGTTGCTCAGAGTACACATTCTTCTGACCAGTTTAAGCCCAGAAAGGAGTTATGAAGAAATATTTAAGAAATGTGTCCTGAGCCACTAAACTGGACAAAAAGCAACTTTGTTTTCTAATTAAGTAAAAACAAAAAGAGCAACAAGTATCATAATAAAACTTCTATCAGTATTTCTTCATTCTAAAATTTGGAACGTCAATTAACCTTCATAATAGACTGGTCCGGATTCCATCCTCAACAGAATCTACTCCTTTGGCCTCAAATGCAGAATAAGAACTCTCTTAAATTTTGGAATTGATCTCCTTTTATTCAAAATGCTCAGCTACACAGCTCTTTTTTGATTACAGAGTTCGTTGAAATGGTGTTTTTTTATCATAAAGAAAACACTGCTGAAAACAACTGGGTGATAGGACATGGCTAGGACCTGCAAACTAAGAAGCCATTCATACATCCATTTCAAAAGAAAAATTCTGCTATACTAAGAAAACAAATATTCTCTGAACAGTTTTTTAAATAACAAATTATTCATTCTTATCATCTCTCTCCAAAGATCAGAATACACTTAAGGCAGGAAAGCTTTGAACCATCTAACAGAGCCTGTAAGTCACAGATGTCAGTAAGTTTTTATTTTATATACAGTCTAATATCCCCCAAATTAGCATAAATGTTAAGATAAATATATATTATTCGTTCTTTAAAAAAAAAAAAAAAAAAGAAACAACAAAAAAACCTCAATCAAATGTAATCATGATCCCATTCCTATTTTTCCTCTTTTTAAATGTTTCTGTTAAATCAATCTTCCTTTTTCTTAAATGGCATTTTGGATTCACTTTAATATTTTGAATCTGTTTAATTTTGAAAGACTAAACTAAACCAGTCATATTCAGATTTAAATTAAAGAAAATCTGGAAGAAAAGGCCAAGGAGGACACCTTTTTTTGTGATGTTCACTGAAGAGAAAATACTGGATAGAAAGGTGGGGAAATCCTAGTTTTCAACTGTACCCTGAACTGGAGAACTTCACTAGACTTTCTTAGTTTTTACCTCTTTTATGAATTAAAACATTTGTATTTCAAATAAAAGTATCAGTGCTTAAATATGCCTCCTTTATGACTGATTCTTTGTTTTCTTTAAATTTCTCTAATATAGTCAMAATTAAATATTGTCAGCATAACTCCATCATTAATTTGAAATCGCTGATTAAGAAATGCTCAGCACTACTAATGCTGCTGTAATTCCTTCAGATCACAGCAGTAATCAGAAACAGATGGGCACTCTTACTTCTCTGAAGTGACCTCAGAAAGTAATGTAACTTGGGCCAGTCCAGCTGAGCCTCAGTGCTCATTATTTTGATTCCTTCATCCTTCACTAGGGAAGCCACTCTCAGACACTTGCTAATCTAAGAGGTTTACAGTTATGAGTGAAAGCACAGATAAGGAGCTCACTAAACCTTCCTCTTAAAAAGCTTTATGCACGTGGATTCAATCAGAAGTCAGATGCCAGTATAAAAACTAGTTCTCTGGAAAAGGTTGGAAATGCCAAAATTAAACTTTGGTGTATATATTTACATTTGCATGTACACACAGATATCTTTTTTTCCTACCACTGTAAAACCTAAAAATCTTGAAACTTCTTAGCTGGGATACTACAAAAGGTAACACTTAGCTCTTTGTGCAACACAGCATCTAGAAAGATTCCAGGGCAATACATCAATTTCTGTTTTTATTAAATTCATATTGGTAAAATGCGGAAGTAAAAAATGGATGAAAATAACTGTCTACAGTTACTGTTTCTAAGAATTTGAGGGATGCTAAATTCTGCAACAGGAAACTTCCCTGTACTAAAAAATTCAAGTACTCTTATATATTTCTAGGAAATCACTGACCTACAGTAATACTTCACACAGCTTTCTCTAAACTGCTAGACAAAAAGAGCTTTTATTTCTTATTGCTACAATAAAACACTTGGTGCAGTGTAACTCCACCAAAGCTTCTCACTTTTGACTTCGCAAAAACTTTTCTGCCATGTTTTTTACTGTGCTTGCTTGTCTTTTGCTAATAAAACTAATTCACAGACGTAAAACTTCTTGAACAGAAACAAAACAACCGAACTGCAAACATAAACCAAGAAAATGTTTACCTTGCTGTATGCATTTTGTAGGGACAGGATGGATTTTTGGATATAAATCCAAGTGTATAGACCTGCTTGCTTGAACCTACACAAAGGTTTGTTTGTGTTTAATGCTTTCATGTTTTAGGTGTTCTTACCAAGAATCTTACCAACTAACTGAGTATGCATGCAGTACACAAACATTTTAAATTTCCAAAAGCAATATTCACTAGAGTGATAGAGCAGGGGGGAACTACATCTCACCTAAACAAAACCCACCAAAACCCACCAGTAATATCTCAAAAAAAGCTATGACAAACATGTTCAGTGCACAGAGCACTGCCAAACAAAAGCCTTAAGATTTGGCCACCTCCAGGATGAAGGTCTCCTTGAGACTTCAGTTAAACTGCAGATAAATTTATTGATGCTGATGAAAAAAGAAAACATGAAGGGGCAATTTCCTCTCTGCAAAGATAACTTGCACTGTGGAATTGAGAAAGATTATCTACAAATACTGAATAAACTGTGCAGCCTCAGCTGCATACCCTGAACAAACTGGGTATCCTTGGGGGGCAGGGGGGGTGGGGATTGTAACATTTTAAACTCAAAGTCTCTCCCTGCAAAATTATTCATATGTTCAATTATTTTCCCCCAAATTTTTTTTTCATTGCTGGCTTACCTCCTGTTTGAGTGATGACTTGAATGTCACTAGAAAGTGGTCCATCCCCAACAGAAGTAAAGGCAAGAACCTTCACAGAGTATGTTTTCTGGGGTACAAGATTCCCAATAGTGGTAATATGGCTGTCAGCCACATTGTGCTTCATCCAACTGTTGACGTGTTGAGTGGGATCCATGGTGTAATAAACTCTGTAACCTTGAATTTGTCCATTGGGTTCCTCAGGTTCTTCCCACTGTACCAGAATGGTGGTGGAGCTCAACATACGGGCCTGCACATTGCGGGGTGCACTTGAAGGGGCTTGTTCTGAAGTCCTTGTCGACACGGGCTCGCTGGGTGGCCCTCGCCCAATGTTATTTACAGCAACTACCCGAAATTCATACTCTGAATAGGGGCTTAGGCCAGCCACGCTATAACGTGTTGTGGCCACCCCATCAATTTCTTTATATGGCTCCTCGGAGTTTTTGGGTTTGTGTTGGATTATGTAGTAAGAAACTGGCTCAGGGTTTCCAGAATCCCAAGTCAATGTTATGCTAGTTGCTGTGCTTTCTGTCACCACAGGTGTTCCAGGAGGTTTGGGTAAGGCTAAATACAAAAAACCAAAAAAAACCTGTTAGCACTATACAATAGCAGACACTATTTATTAGAAAAAGAAGCTTACAAACAGTAACAACAAAATGAAACAGAAAGATGAAACAGAAAGAAGATGTGATCTGTTCAGGGAAAGCTTTTGGCAATTATAATTCCACCAAAATCTATTGGAAAATCTTCAAGTTTTGTTCCATACAGTTCATTTATTGTGAATTATTGATACTGACTTCTGTAATAAATCCATAACCATATGCAGAAGAGGAATCTTATAGAACAACAATTCACAATTGCAACTGAATTTTCAGGTATTTTTGGAACCCCTTGTTTCCATTTACTCAGTGAATACRATACTTGGACACCCAACAATTCTAAAAATCAAATGACTGGTTCTTAGAGGCTCCTCCTTACTTACTGAAAGGTAAATGCAACACCACAAGATCCTTGCTTTAAGTGAAATGAAGGCTGGGAGCCAGACACAGGAGAATAATGGAAAACTGTGACTAAATTATTTTAATAAATATTACTTATTCAATTACTGATTATTTCTGCTGCTTGAACCTGTATTTTGTCTTATGCCAGTGACTTTCTGGAATATTTACCCTCTTGATTTAAGAGGGCAAATGGCATTTAGACCTTCCAGTGCAATATATTTGCTGAGAATGAATGAAATAAAAGACAGAACTGTGTCCAAATAAATGTGCTTGAGATATACCTTTGACAGTTATCTGCGCTATTGCTTCTATAACACCAAGGGTAGACATAGCAACGCAAGTATAGTTTGCAGACTGTCTGACATCATTAAGCTCAAGGACGTTCCTCCCTATTGGCATATCATCTTCAGGTGTCAAATCTTCTGCTCCTAGCATCCATTTCACATATGGCATTGGTGACCCCACCGCAACACAGGTGATATTTACACTCCCGCCAGGCATGATCTCATGATTTGTGGGGGGGATAGAGAACCTTGGTGGAACCCGTCGAACTGGAACAAAACACAAAAAAAAGGTAATAACATATACAAAAAAAGAGAACTGAGTCTTGCATAAGGACAGCATGCAGTGTACAGACACAATTTACTGTTTTAACGTTTATTCCGATCTGCCAGAAAATATGTATAAGAGAAATAAGAGGCTAAATAAGAATTTTGTCTGCACACAATGTGAATTATTCTGTATTTATTTGAGGATATGATTAAGCACATTCATACAAAGACTGTTTCAGACCTGCTAGGGCCCCACATGTAACTAACTACATACTAACAATACACAAACACCATGCAAAAGATATA